ATGAATGTGAAAAATCTGTTCAAGGCTGTGCAAGGAATGTGGACCAATGAGTAAAGAGATTTAGACTAACGCTTACGAGAAAATGGCAATTTGTACCACGTGACCTAGTTTCCCCATGACCTGTAGTTTAGTGTTGATTACATCTTGATAAATATTAGACATTTCATACCAGATTCAACAACAACAATGATTCTGCACAGTTTTTATCTTCTCGTTTCCAAATTTGAGAAACTGCCAACTTGAATTTGACGTTTGCCGTAAACGTGATTCTACATCTCTCTTATGACAAGATAACTATTGGCACAAGGAAAAATCTCACATGACCGAAGTTAAGAGAACACAACTATGACTAACTTAGTAGAGTTCTTTCTCCATTTCAGCAAGGAACACGTGGGTCGATACTCTCTCACAGTTACCCTAGCTGATCTCTTCTTTCGACCGTTCTTAACTCATTTACCCCTGGTCCAAAAACGGTAAAACTTACCTTGTTTAAGTAACAAATCATATCTTAGCACGTATTTACAGCAGCATAGAAAGCTATGCCTCTTTGGAAAGGGCAGAGAAATTATTCTTTCCAGAAATAATGTTACACTTTATAGCAACCCATATTTCGCGGAAAAGCTAACAAATATTTATATTTATCAAAATTATGCAAGTATTTTACAAAAAATGTTTGGTTCAAGGAAAAAGCTTAAAAGAAAATTTTTTCTTTAATATCTGAGCAAAACATTCCGCTTATGTGCCGAAGATAGAGGGACACAGAATTTACTACAAACTTATTTCGCAACTCCCCCAGGTTATGCTAATTAGTTAAATACTCATTTGCATACCGTGATTATACACTAACTATAAAGCGACGCGACAGATTCCTGACATGTAACTGGAAGCTCTTCCTCCTTGCTGCTTGGTCGCAGGCTAACATGACATTAGAGTGTTCACAGCAGATTGCCGTCAAACAGTCCTAACCTACATAAGTTTGCACTCATTGCTTTCTCCTGTCTCTACATAAAACT